ATGTTGCTCAGGGAATGTGAGTGTAGCAAAATTTGCAGCTATCAGCTCACACACAAGACCGGATATCTACGTCATAATTAACCCAGAGGTTGAACAATAAATTCAGGAGGCCCATGAGGGAGTTGGGGGCCAGTCGTCGGCCAAGGGGTATAAGATACTATCCCCAGGAGCTCACGCATCTAATCTAAGACACTCGCATTCTAGGATTCAAATAGACCTTCTACACAACACGTAAACGGTTGACATTCCTTGGCAGACGAATCGACCCTACTCCTGTAGCAGCCATCTGATCCATTTTGACAACCCATGTTCAGAAGATGAAGCGCAAACTGTCACCAGAACATTATGTCAAGGACGATGAGCATTCACTGAATGAATGAATATCCTTAACCCCGAAGAAGCTCAGCTTGTGTTTCATACTTGCTTCGCTCGTCTTAATTATACGACATGCCAATCCCAGTAGAGACCTAAAGAAACTCATATTGCTCATTTCAGCTTGGCAGCTGCCGTCGGAATATTTACCATCACAGCTTTGAATATGTCTACCCTCCGTACACTCTATGCCAGCTTCGATCAGAGGCAATTTACAGTGTAACCGAGGCAAAATTACTATACAACAAGCATTTAAGTTAACAAATTTTAATCATTAATATGTACAAGGATTTGATAAAAATAAGCTCTCTCTACAGGTTTTACAAAATTTTCTCCTTTACCTGAACTTTAGATTTCCCACAGCAGACAAGCAGTTTCCACAGCCGTCGCAGAAGTTGAAGAATGGACGTCCGTTCCCTCTGATCCAGCAGAGTATTGGTTCTACAGTGGATGGTATCAGTGAGACGTGAGTTAGCAATGTAAATGAGGATGGGGGAGGAGCAAAATGACAAAGATGGCACTCAAAAGACCCTAGTGGAACAATTATGAACTTACGGAAAGACATATTGACGGCCTTCCAACGTGGAGGTTCAGCTGGTGGTTCAGGCCAAATCTACTGAGATTTTCTGGTATCGGAGTCCGATACATTACTCTCAAGGACAAGTGTTGCACGAGAATTGCAGTTGTCATTAAGAAAATGCTCAATGAAACCAAAGCCCGCAGCTGGTCGCATAGTTTAAGAGGTCAGTTCGGTTGCTTTATCCAAATTCTTGCCACCTTTGTCGCCAACTTGCTGCTTTTCTTCAACATTCACAGCTCCTTCTTCCTCCTCCTCCTCCTCCCCCTCGTCCACCTCCCTATCTTCCTCCTCTGAATCCGACACCTCTTCTATTGCCAGCAGCTCGTGAGTAAATTCAGGACCCCTTGATAAGGGACGTAATCGTAGCGCAGTTTAACCTGATTCAGAGGGAAGGACAACGTTAAAAAGCAAAGACGGATATGCGACAGAGAGAACGGTGCAGTCATTTTTAGATACAAGTAGGTCATATACTTACTTCGTTTTGGCATTTCGGCTTGTTCCGGATATTTTCGTAGGGCACGTGGCGTTGCCCCACAAAGTCTGCCAAAGGCATAAGAAAAAGTAAGGAGACCGCGAGCGTCATAACGATGCCTACAAATTTCGAAGTTGCATTAGATCCTTTAAGTGATATATTTACGTGCATTCACATCAGTAAGCAACCTATATCTGAATAAATCGTATAGTAGTGACGAACAGTAAACTACTAGGTAGTATCGCAATGTGTTAAGGCTGCTACGGTTTAACCCTAACGGCTGCGATCTTCCAAGCCCGGTTCCTTAGGAGATGAGAGAAGTCTTGGGAAAGGCAGATTGTTAGGAATAGTTTATTCTGCAGAAGGATAGAAGAATAGTTAGGACGAAGGTTGATTAGGTCTGGCGTTGCGTTTGCCATGAGGGCCGTGAGAGCGCGGCAGCGTTGACGCGTCCGCCCCGCTCAGGAGTAGAATGCCGAGTGCGTTCTGGCGTCAGTAATCGGGGGCGGCCGCCGAATCCTCTCTGT